AAATGTTCAGGTGGAAATGAAAGGCCTTGCATTTAGTTCTTACTTCTGCAGACTTCCTAACTCTGTGTGTGTGTGTGTGTGTGTGTGTGTGTGTGTGTGTGTGTGTGTGTGTGTGTGTGTGTGTGTGTGTGTGTGTGCGTGTGTGCGTGTGTGCGTGCGTGCGTGCGTGCGTGCGCAGCACTGGTGGCAGCGTCTCTCTCCCGCGCTCTCCTCCCTGTGGCGGGGTCTCACTGATGGAGACCCTCTCCCGGAGCAGCTGCAGCTCCTCACTGTGTGTCAGAGCTGGGCCTGCAGGTAAGCCTCATCCTTATGGAGCTCCTCCTCTGGACCTCTGATCCACCACACCGTCAGTTAGAGGGTGTAACAATCTGTCAGATTCGCCTTGGCTTCATTTAGCTCTGTTGAAGTCCCTTATGTGGAAACAACATGCCAACATACCAAGAAAGCCAAATCCTATGGCTTGAATGCAGTTAAAAAAAAATAGTTTTGTTTCAGAGCTGCTGTTATGAATATTACATACATAATACACATTTTTCCAATTATTTCAAAACCACTTAAATACACCACAATTGCCCTTGCAAAAGTGAAACATAACTTGTGTGTCGCTCTTTGATATATATCCACTCCTAAATGTTTTTTTTGTTTTGGCCCATGCTTTACCCTTCTTCCGAGTTCATGAAAATAAATATAGAAAAATACAAAGGCAATCCAGAAAGTCCATCTGAGCCGCAAACACAAGCTCCTTGGAGGTAATAATAAACAGACAGAATAAGAAATATCTTCATACACAAAAGGAATAGGACAAATATATAATATTAATAATAAACATATATTTTAATAAAATAGTTGCCCAGGAGCCCCTCTCCCCATGATTAGTTTTATTTTCGGTGGTAAACTTGGCTTGCGTTAAGATGCCTTTGTATTCTATGTGGTGTTCAGTTTAGAGAAGGGGCCCTCCCCTCCGGGTCCTGCTGCTCTGCTGCTGGCTGCCAGCCTGCACGGGGCCTGGCAGGGCCGTGGGGGGGCCGACCAGGGCCTCAGTGCTGCCCTACGTGTGCTGCGAGAAGAGGGGGGCCCGCCGTGCCAACAGGTGAGAGGAAAGAACTTCATCATAACAGTTTCATTTTATCGGCCCTAAGTGGACCCCAGCCGGTATGTTGGAGTATTTGTTTTCATTAAAACACCAGCATGTTGTATATTGACCTGCTGCTGTTTAATTTATTTGTCCAGGTTCTAGTTTTCCTGCTCTTCCTGTGTGTAAAGGATCATCTGTCATCACTCCTGTATCCTGAGGTAATTAATAAAAACGCTCTTTTATTGATCCTGTACTGTCCCTGTGTCCACCTGCTGACTCAGTGTAGGGGTTAGACTTAGGAACGCTGGTGGATTGATATGCAGTTAGGGAGCTCAGGTTGATAAACCCTAATGAGCAACATGCTCTGCCCCACACCAGATCTGAGAGGAAATTCATTCATTAATATTTTATCTGGAACCTCATCATTATTACACATAAATTCTAAAGAACCACTCCTAAAAATACCACGTAGTCCAGAAAGAAATGAAGTGATTGGAGCATACTTTACTGCTGCACTCCAATTACTCTGATAATAGGACTGTCCGGGCAAGCAATGGTTTATTGTTGAAGGAATAGTAATAGCGACATTCGGGAGAATATGCTTATTGGCCAAGAGTTGGATGACTATCAGCTGACATGTTCTCCAGTATGGAGGTCAACTGTTTCTGCTCCTCCCACAGCAGGAGGGAGCCTCTGTAATGTTGTGTCTATAATGATTCCTCAGGAACAGAGGAGTCAGAGAGCAGCCGACCTCTGCACAGAGCTGCTGCGTGTGTTAGTGGACTCTGCTGACTGGCTGCTGCTCTTTAAATCAGAGGGTACAGTGTCCATCTTTAAAATCACATCTCACTACACTCCACATGGGAGCAAACAATGTTATTGACAGTTTAGCCGGGTATTTATTATTTGAAAGATTAAATGTAATGTTTGCTCTGACATTAAATGATTGTGTCTTCTTGTGAATTGATGCATTGTTAAATAAGTGGGCTGAATGTTGTTTTCTTAACTTTAGATCACGGTGTTTACCAATCCATCACCATGGTAACATCAGATGAGTTTACCCGACTGATGCCTTGGGCCTTTTACAGGTCAGTTTTTAAAGTTTATTTTTGTTTTGAGAGTGACTGTGGATACAAACCTGGGGCTCCCTCAGAAGGCCTCACTAGGGACACATACGGATCATAATATTTTTACAATTTTGTAATGCATATGACATAATAAGCTTTGGCAAAGGTGTGATTTTAATAACTGAATTTTGTAAGTTCAACTCTTCCCAAAACTTCCCATTATACAATGTTTAAGTTATTAGTACAGACACTCAGAGCCACCGGAAGATTTTTCTCCACATTGAAACCACAATCTTTAACCCATGAAAGCACTGGACAAGTAATTCTAATGTACCATGCTTTTGATATAAGCCCAGCTTTAAATTAGTAGTTTTCTTACTTTTATCACATGAGGTTCTCCCTTTCCTGTTTTTGTGAATGTTAATGTTGATTCAGCAAAGGCTAAAATCCCTGTGTTCCCTCCAGAGGGAGTTTCCCAGACAGAGGCTCTGCAGCACAGGCAGTATGAGACAAATAAAGAGCTTTTTCAAAGCAGAGACACTACCAACTGATATGAACCTGAAGATGAGCATCCATTTTACGCCATTTCTCATGTTTGCCTTGAGGTTCAAAGGTCCTGTTCCTGGTTTCCACTAGCAGATTGATGCTCTAATTTGGATCGCTACAGTTTTTCACGCGATGCATTAAAGTCAATGTTGCTAATCATTGACACATCCCATACTGAAAAAAATTATAATTTAGTGTAGAGAAAATACATTTTGTATTTTATAAAAAATATAAGAGTATAATGTATACAAAGTGTTTGAATCCTGAAGAGGAATTAATGACAATTGTTCTCTACCTAAATAATCACATTATATAAACTTAACAAAATGTGTATTGTTTAATTGTGTGTGTGTGTGTTCAGCCTGCTGCTCCAGCAGAGTGCTGAGCTGCTGCACAGAGCTGTGTGTGGCCCTCACTTCCTGCACACTGCTGTCCTCTGCTACATCCATCTGCTGCAGCTCTTCCTGGAAGGACACACCCTCCCCCCCGCTGACCATCAGGTGATGCTTTGTATCATCCTGTCAGTCAAACCTGTCACTTCTCTGCTCTGAAGTTCAACGTGTGCATTTCACTGTCAGCCTTTTCAGATTGTGAGCCACAGCAAGCAGCTTCTCCTGAGAGCCATTGCACAGACACCCCCGACAGCTCTGTCCACCAGCCAACTCAGAGAGGTACACACACACACACACACACACACACACACACACACACACACACACACACACACACACACACACACACACACACACACACACACACACACACTGTCAGGGTTGGGAGGGTTACTATAAAAAAAAAAAAAAGTATTCCGTTACAATTACCGGTTACTTGTAAAAGAAAATCTAGTTTCTAAGTGAATGTAACCTGATTACTCTGTTACCTTTAGATTACCTCAATTTAAAATGCAAATAAATGAGAGAAAAACTCTCAATAAGATGGATTTTACTCAAGTGTATTATGTGCACAACAGAACAATGTGACCTTAGAAAATAAGATATTTAGGATCATAAATGATTTTATTGATAGGAAAAGCTGCCTTTTATTCAGCATATTCAGGCAGCAGCCTATACACCAACGCTGAAACACATGAGCACATGCTACAGTTTAAAAAAGCAGAAATAAAGTCTGAGCTCCGTTTTAGTTTAATACACACAGTTAAACTCACACACACTATTTAATTACCATATACAGTGGGGCAAAAAAGTATTTAGTCAGCCACCAATTGTGCAAGTTCTCCCACTTAAAAAGATGAGAGGCCTGTAATTTTCATCCTAGGTATACCTCAACTATGAGAGACAAAATGAGAAAGAAAAATCCAGAAAATCACATTGTCTGATTTTTAAAGAATTTATTTGCAAATTATNTTGAGTTTTTATCAAAAAGTTCTATTTTGGTTTCATCTGACCATATGACATTCTCCCAATCCTCTTCTGGATCATCTAAATGCTCTCTAGCAAACTTCAGACGGGCCTGGACATGTACTGGCTTAAGCAGGGGGACACGTCTGGCACTGCAGGATTTGAGTCCCTGGCGGCGTAGTGTGTTACTGATGGTAGCCTTTGTTACTTTGGTCCCAGCTCTCTGCAGGTCATTGACTAGGTCCCCCCGTGTGGTTCTGGGATTTTTGCTCACCGTTCTTGTGATCATTTTGACCCCACGGGGTGAGATCTTGCGTGGAGCCCCAGATCGAGGGAGATTATCAGTGGTCTTGTATGTCTTCCATTTTCTAATAATTGCTCCCACAGTTGATTTCTTCACACCAAGCTGCTTACCTATTGCAGATTCAGTCTTCCCAGCCTGGTGCAGGTCTACAATTTAGTTTCTGGTGTCCTTTGACAGCTCTTTGGTCTTGGCCATAGTGGAGTTTGGAGTGTGACTGTTTGAGGTTGTGGACAGGTGTCTTTTATACTGATAACGAGTTCAAACAGGTGCCATTAATACAGTTAACAAGTGGAGGACAGAGGAGGCTCTTAAAGAAGAAGTTACAGGTCATAAATCTTGTTTGTTTGTAGGTGACCAAATACTTATTTTCCACCATAATCTGCAAATAAATTCTTTAAAAATCAGACACCTGATTTTCTGGATTTTTTTTTCTCTCATTTTGTCTCTCATAGTTGAGGTATACCTAGGATGAAAATTACAGGCCTCTCATCTTTTTAAGTGGGAGAACTTGCACAATTGGTGGCTGACTAAATACTTTTTTGCCCCACTGTATATCTCCGCTGGCATTACCATTGTCCTCTGGGGAGACTGTACAAGTCAATAAGAAGAGTTATGCATGTTTCAGAATGATGCAACAATAAATACAAATACTAACCATGTTCAGGTGCTGGAGTGTGCAGCTCTACCTTGTCTTTGCAGGGTGACAAGGTGAGGTCCACCACATCAGCTTTAGGTGGGGTTACAGCTGTGCTCCTGCAGGCTTTGCTGTGGCACACACACCGACAGGGACTGGGAATATCTGACTTCTTACAGTCTCCACAGTTTTTCTCTGGCTGGCTCTTGTCTTTCGCCAGGCTGCCCTCTTCTTGAGCTTTAGCTGTCATCACACAATGAAACAAGCAGATATTAATATTAGTAAAATGGACTATAAGTCTGTACATGGAGTAGGCCTTAAACTTCTGTGTACCAACGTTTTTTCCATTTTTTTTTAGGTCACAAGTAGGACTACTTGCCTATACAATTGCTTTCCATTGTTTCATCTTGGATAAATGAAACTTACCATACTGAGCCTGCTGCCAGCCAAGGGTGGAGCACAGCAAAGCCAAACTCTTCCCACTTCCTGTCGGACTTTCCAGCAAGCAGTGCTGCCCATTATTCAGCCCTCGTATGATCTGCAGAAAAGGTAGGGACAAAACTGCTAAATGCAAAATCCACACACACACATTGTAGGATTTAAATGATTTCATTCTGAGGATGTTGGTATTTTGTAAAAGCATATTATAAATATAACACCACATAACAGTCTGTATGTACCAAGAATCACATAGACATAGCTACCTATTGCTAGAATGAACTAGACTTGTTGCATCAACCTGTGCCGTTACAAAATGATGCATTATTTTAGATTTAATATGGAACCTGGGGTTTTTCTGTGGGGAGTTGAAATGTTTCCCTGCAATTGTGCAGGTTAAAACATTTTTGATTAAAGTTAGAATGACAACTTATGGATATTTTCTCAAATACACTGTACAAGATGACTGAAACATCACCAAAGCAGATACAACAATATTATTCCTTGCGTGACCACAAAATAAATATAATTTATAATAGCACCACTTGCTATGCAGGTCCAGTTAACTGATTAGATGATATTAGGGGTGATGACAGAGGTGGGAGAAGTACTCATATATTGTACTTAAATTATTTAGAAATACCACAGTCTAGGAATACTCTGTTACAAGTAAAAGTTCTGCTCTGCAAATGTAACTCAAGTAAAAAGGTACAAAAAAGCATTAGCTTCAAAATATACCTAAAGTACAGAAAGTAAAAGTATTGATTATGCAGCTTGGCCAATTTTCAAATAATATTTATTATATGTTTTGATTATTATTGATGCATTAATGTGTTTGTCACAGCTGGTAAAGGTGCAGATAGTTTGAATGGCTTTGTATACTACAGGGTAGCTTGTGGATTTAAACCAGGGCCCTTTCTCATTTCACTAATTTCCCCTCCTCGACTCCTCGGTCCTCCGGTAGTGACCCGGAAATGAATTTCAGCGTGCCATGTTGAAGGACATCTAATTTCTCTAAATGCACATCGAGGACCGAGGATCAAGCGTCGAGGAGGCTCTCTGGAGGAGTTCTAACCGAGGATACACTGATGGGTCCTCCACGGTCCCTCCGTGGATGCATTTCCGGCAACAGAGATGTTTCAAAGAGTCGTGACGCACGGCCGGACTTATCTCAGACAATGACATCTCTGCATGCATCCCCTGGATATTATTTTATTAACTGTTTTAATCGTGACGCGATGAAAGCAGTGAGAACAGCTGTGAGGTCCGTGCAGAAAGCAGAGCAGTGTGTATAATATATATCACTCATTATAAAACGGACAAGTCAAATCAAGCAATCTGATTGGTTCTTAGCCGTGATATACTGAGCGTATACCACGGGTAGAATTGTAAGTTACTTTTCACAACAAGTCAGTATCCCTCCGCGTCTGAGAAAAACAGTATACCGTTGGGCTGAAAAGCAAACTGCCTGCAGTTTGCTTTTCATACTGGAACAAGAAAGCAGCGGAGAAGTAACGGGGCAGAAGCTGGGCAGAAGCCCTCCTTTTTGACGCAGCGGTCCAGACATTAGACAATCAAACGGCCAAAACATATTCAGTGTGCAGTTCCTTTGGCGATTAGGGCAGAGGATATCTAGATACTTTTGAAGGTTCTAACTAAATTAATTGGGCTACTTGTTAAAGCAGCAACGATGTTTTCAAATCTGTATCAAAGAGGTCCGCAAAAACGCTATCGACCAATCAGATTTGGGGCTTGATTTGACTTGTCGGGTTTTCATAAATATATTTAAATTTCTTCCCGTTAGCGAAAACAAACTTACAAAGCATAAATGGAAAGCATTTAAGATTAATTTCGNAGTTGCAGGAACACACACACACACACACACACACACACACACACACACACACACACACTAAGGTGTGTGTGTGTGTGTGTGTGTGTGTGTGTGTGTGTGTGTGTGTGTGTGTGTGTGTGTGTGTGTGTGTGTGTGTGTGTGTGTGTGTTCCTGCAACTGTGTGTAACAGAGGAACTAAAGAGCTCTAGGGATACTTCCATCCTAACATTCCAAACTACGATGACCGTTGTTCCAAACATTTATATTAAACACTGAGGACTTGACCTGATTACATCATCTAAGGACCTCATGCGATACACAGTACATCAGCTTTTCACCCTGACTGCTTTCTCTAAACATAAAGTATAGCCTAATTCTGAATAAGGGTAAGGATCAAATGTATGTGGACACTCAAACAAAACACTGTTGGCATTGAACATACTGTAAGTCTTAAGGTGTCGATTGCTTCTGTATTGACCTAACTTTGGTGATTGGTGTTGTATGCACTAATTCAGCCTCCAGAGCGTCCGGGCAGGAAATCATGTTGGAGATTAGACCTAAAATCCATCCCAAAGCTGCTGGACAAAGCTCGTGCACTGGTAAAGCCATTTCTTTATGGACCTTGCTCTGTGATAGGACAACATTATGGTTAATCAGTCCTTCAACACTGTCCAGACTTTTGGGATCGGGATGGCTCCATGGTTCTGCAGGGATGCCACGTTTCTGTCGACCATCCCAGAAGTTGGCATTTTCAGTTTCCTTCGAAGAAAGCCAACTCTATTTTCTCATAGGTTCTTCTTTCAGCATTAGAATTGTCACGAGTGTAACCATTTCTGAAAAGTAAATGCAAAAGGCAGAAGTAAAAAGCTAACGTCAGGCTGTAAACGGAAAACACCATCATTGCCCAACCTCAATGTCAACAATAGAGCTTTTCTGTGTTTGGCGTGATATAATTGATTGTTGCAGCCTCCTTGGTTTCATTTAGCTTGCTAGCTACTACTGTTTGAAGGAAAATCTTTCAAATTTACAAGGTGGGGTTTTAACTGATGATTTTTATGTCCAAGAACAAGACGTTTCAATTCCTGTTCCTTATTTCAGGCGGGAACAGGAAATGCAAAATGCTAACCTCCCCCGTGTGTTGTGTGACAACATTCCCATGTTAAGGATTACATTTAAATTCATCCAACAGTTGGTTTGAACTAAGATCCCGCCTCTTAGTAAGAACCAATCACTGTTTAGGATAATGAGCTAACCTTGGAACGCGATTAAATTATAGGCAGATATGCCCTTCACCAAACTTTTACCACAAAGATTGAAGCACACTATTCTAAACTCTAATATATTACTATATGCAGAAGCCTTAAGATTTCCTTCATTGGAAGTAAGTCGCTTAGCACACTCAGAAACACACAAAAGTACTGGATGTCCACATACCTTTGGCCATGTATTATGTATTTCATATGGCTGGGGATACCTTGAATTAATCTTAATCTGTAACAGACACAGTGTCCTTTAATTGAATGAAATTACACAGAGGACTCTACAAGCGAAGCCAAAGAGCAGTCACCTCTGCACACACACTGTACGTGGCCGTGTAAAGTAGTGGACATTCATAAGTCCCTCTGATCCCCCATGATTAAAGAAATCCCTCAAAGTTTCTAAAAACCAGAGCGAGAGAGAGGCAGTGAGCTCATTCATTTGTGCATGTTATATTATACCTCAGTGGATTGACCTTTGACTTAATGCTGACTGTCCTCCTCCCCCTCTCTCCCCCTCTCTCCCCGTGCAGATTCTCAAAACTAAGCTTTAACCATCCGAGCTAGAGAATTAATGAATTTGAAAACCCTGTGGATACATTAACTAGACCCACTTCATATGCCATGACTCGAAGTACATCAATATACGCTTTCTGCATCTGTAAATGCCTATCAATTATTAAAGTGATGTCATTACCTAGGCAATATCCATCATGAATGTGTAATATATGTCATGCAGCATTGTTGCACAATCTGCAAATTGTTTGACACCCCTATCGCAAAAGCATCAGCACTCACAGAGGTGTAATTTTTTTCGAAGACCCCCTTGGCGAGCACTTGGGGGGCAGCACAACAATCTGAAAATACAACATTGACATATTATCACCTTATTCACCAGATATGGCTGATGTGTGTGTTCTTAAATTAAATCACCTGTGTAATGTCAGTCCAACAATGACTCTTCTGAACTTTGAAATTGAAAAATAATAGTATAATACGTAAATGAAGCATGTGACTACATTGAAAATAATTTTAAAATAGCGGTGAATCATCAGATCTGTAACATTACTAATCCTCTAACACTACAGCACTATTTGACCAGCGTCATTTCATTGCACTCTCTTCTTATGGAATGGTTTATTTGCATGAAAACTGAATAATATTTGTAGTTACTTTTACATTTTTAGCGTTATATTTTTGATAGAATAGCTTTTTCCTTGCTGTGAAGAAAGCAAACTTACTCCGGTCATTTAAACAAGCCCAATTATGCTTTTTGGGGTTTTACTGTAGTTGTTTGTGCATGTAAATCTGCAAAGGCTAAAATCTCAAAGTTCTCTCCCACACTCCCCCCCTGCCATAAACACCTCAAATTGACTCCTTTGTTTACTTGCGTAACGTAATGACATTTGTAAAACGTGCACTTCTATTGGCTAGCACTCCAATACATTGTATGTGATAGGCTAGGGGCGGGACATCACTAAGCGGTTGACCAATAGCCACAGAGCCAACCAGCTAACCAATCAGCTCTAGTTTCAGACAGAGGGTGAAAAGAGGTGCTGCAGCACAGGCAGTATGAGATTAATATAGCATGTCACAGTAGAGGCACAACATACAAATATGAACCTGAAAATGAGCAACATTTGCTGTTAAGTGAGGTGAGGTAAAAGATTATTTGAAGTTCAGGAGATTCATTGAATATGAATAATGAATCATAGTTATTACTAAAGTTGGGAAGCATGTTTTACTTTTTTATTATTTAATTAAATAATTCATTTTCATCTGTCTCTTGGAAGCCCACAACTTTATGGAAGTGCAATATTTGAATCGTTGGAATACTCCTTTAATATTTCTACAGCGCAAAAAAACAACATAAAAATCCAACTCAGCCCTGTGAAGTTTTCACACTTTAACATCAAAGCCGTCCATATATTTCTATTTAGTTTTAGGACCTTCCCTATACTCGCGCATTGAAATTGCCTCTAAAAATTCAATTTTGCTTGCTCTCTGTCTCACTCAGTGTCTCTCTTTGTCTCTCCCTCCTCCCCCCTGATGCACAAATCCATACTGTTGTAAATGAAGCTGTGA